CGCCGGGGGGGGCCAGCCGCAAGGCGCTGAGAGGTTGCTCTGCGGCGGCCGGGGCTGTTCCCACCTATTCTGGGGTGGTGGGTCGCACGGGCTGCTACTGCCGGGCAGTCCCTGGCCAGGGGTCGGCAGCAGCTTGTTCCTGTCCAACCCTCCGGTGCCCGCACATCCTGCCCCAGGCCTGCTGCATTCCCAGCCTGCTCCTCCCTCGCCTCGGGCCCAGACACCCCAACGCAGGGCCAGGCCCTGGCCACCTGGGCCTCGTCGCACACCGGGCCTCTGCCCTGCAGCTGGGAGGGAAGGTGGCCACTCCGCTCCCCTGCTGAGCGCGGCAGGAGCATGGGACACACCCTGGGCCTTCCTCTCATCCCACAGTCGCCACCCCCTGACCGACGGGAAAGCAAAGTGCTGCCGAAGGCCCCATGCAGCCCGCGCCAGCCCCGGAGGGCAGAAGGGAGCTGGGCCTTCGAGAGCTGTTTGACTCTCTTAAATCTCCTGCGTTGGGGTCTCTCTCCATGTCCTTGGGGTCTGACTTTGAGGTCGGTAGCACAGGGCCAGGCCCGACACCCGTCTCCTCCCTGCCCTGCGGCGCGCACACCGCATGGGACCAGGCCACGCTGCAGCCACACGACTTACCGCAGTGCCAACCAAATCTGTGAAGAGAAGGAGAGAGAGCGTTAGGGGGAGTCTGACGCGCAGCGGCTGTGCTCAGTGACTCCGTAGCTACGTCTTCTTGGCCCCTGGGACGTAGTGGGGGTGCTTGCTGGGCTGTGGTGACCCCTGCTGTCTGGAGCAAGACCCAGCAGGGAAAACCTCACTAGGCCAAGGTAAGGCCAAACTTGTTGAACCAGACACCCCCCATGGAGAGGAACAAAGGAAGGTGGATGCTGCCCTGGCTGGGGGGGCAGGGCTGGAAGGGAATTAAGTTAGTTCTGTCTGTGAGCATGGAGGAGACAGCCTAGGGGAAGGGGCTGGAGTTTAGGGGCCCAGTCTCCCCCATCTCAAGGGGGTCTGAGGCATCCTAGCCCAGCTCTGTGACCAGATTCCATCTGTGCTGTGCTGTATCCTGGAGAGGCAATAAACTTCCTCTATTCCACCGGCTGGTGCAGTCTGTTTGTGCCATTTCGGGGTGCAGGAGGCGGGGGACCCCCAACGCGCCGTCACAGCAGGCTCTGGGGTTAGTGCAGG